TCTGTCTCCGGAGAATTTCCACCAAGAAGCGGTGACTAATTCGATCATGAGGTGCGCATATGGTGACACCCCCTGCTGTGAACAAAAATAAGCTTTCCTTCACACAAAAGTTGATTTTATCATTCCTCTCTCTCTCTCTCTCAAACCTCCTCCTCTTCATTCCAAGTGCAGTCTTCCTATTAGGGATTATTATTTCTCCCTCATTTCCAAAAAAGCCTTCACCCATACTCCACGCTAGTGCCCATCTCCCTGCATAGAGGCCTTCTTCCACTAACACCACGGCTTCTTCAGTCACTGACGAGAGCTGCTTTTGCATCCCACACAGAGAGTGCTTCCACACTGCAGCATGTCTGTCAGCCGTATCCGCACCAGGAGCCTCTTTGACAAGTTCCCAGGCAAGCCTGCTTTCTAATATATTTGATTTGTGGTGGGACCAGCTACTAGCTGTGTTGGAGGTTAAGGCGCTGCTCTGCCAGCCTCCCTCTTGTGACTAATCCCTGTCATTACATGCTCAGGGCAGCATTTATCTGACTTGGAACAGGGGATCTAAAAGCACCCGGCTGCAGGAAGGCTCAGAGTATTTCATATCGAGCGCATGGTGGAAACCCCATCAAAGAAAATTCTCCTGCCCAGTCTCCACTGCGCACGAGGACACAGGGATGTTTGCGCTTGCAAAACATCAAAACGCTTTAACTTGCCTGGTTTGACAATGTTATGAAAGGACGTTATGAGAAGTGCGGCAAAAAAATGGGGTTTTACTGACCCTAGTATTCATTTGGGCTTGTTCTTCTGATACCATTTCCATCTACTTCAGCGTGTTCCGAATTAGCTCTTGAAGTAGGAGTGACAGTCCATGAGGTAGGATATAAACATCATATGGTTTTCTACTTCTCTGGAAGAGATTCAGATACATGCTCATAGACATGGTATAAGAAGAAAATAAAAATGTACTGATCAACCTCTAAATCCAGCATTCCTCTCATGTTCTGCTGGATTTGCTCCACCAGTGGATGTGGATTTCAGGTTATTTCACTATGGTTTATGATGACAGCCCCAAACAACTGAAATGAATGCAAGTACTGCAGTGCCTGCTGCTGCACATTGTTTCTACACTTGCTGTTCTGGAGGCCTTCCCCTAACCGCTGAACGGGATCTCTTCACAGGCAGGACGGTCCCTCAAGGAGAGCAGAGGTTACAGTCATGGTGTGATTCACAGGAAGCTGGAGCTCAGCTGTTACGACAAGTTTTGCAAAGTTCTTGAAGCACTCGTGACCTTCTCACGACTGGCCAAGATAACCTAGGAAGTCTGTGACAGCACCTGGTAGAGAGCCCAGCTCTGTGAAATCACGGTGGACTCATTCATTCATAAGCATCCTGTGACGTACCCATATCTCAAAAAGCAGCGCTGGTCTACAGCCCTGCCTCGGGTACAGGCAGGTATGGAGAGGGAGGTTAGGACTCGTCTTAGGTCTCTCCTACAACTGCAGGGAGCCCGGGTGCGTCAGAATGGGAAGAAACAACTCTGGTCCTGGGGTGGTGAACTTCGTACTGCGAAACTGGACTGCAGGCAATAAACTTATTTCTCTCAATTCTCATGGGAATTCATTGGTACAAACCAGATGGGATGTACTGGTTGGGAATCTGCCCTGGTTCCAGCTGGGATAGAGTTAATTTTCTTCCTAGCAGCTGGCACAGCGCTGTGTTTTAGATTTGGGATAAGAAGAATGTTGATACCACGCTGAGGGTTCAGTTGTTGCTGAGCAGGGCTTACACCAGGCAAGGACTTATCAGCTTCCCCTGCTCTGCCAGGGGCACAGGGAGCTGGGAGGGGGCACGGCCAGGGCAGCCAACCCCAACGGGCCTAAGGGCTATTCCAGACCATATGATGTCATGCCCAGTACAGAACTGAGGGGAGTTGGCTGGGAGACAGCAATCGCTGCTCAGGGATGGGCTGGATGTCATTTGGCAGGTGGTGAGCAACTGCATCACTTGTTTTTCCTGAGTTTTCTTCCTTTTTTTTTTTTTTGTTTGTTGTTGTTTTCCTTTTCACTACAATTTTTTATTATTATTGTTATTATTTTAATATTTCTGTTATTAAACTGTTCTTATCTTAACCCACAAGTTTTCTTAATTTTGCCTTTCAGATTCTGTCCCCCATGAGCAAGCAGCTGTGTGGGGCTTAGTTGCTGACTGGGGTTAAACCACGACAGAATCCATGATGCTTTGGAAATGGCATAAACTGGAGGAAGAGAGGAGCTAACATATTCCTACAAACATGCTGAAAGGAAATTTAGGCCACTCTAGCCAGCAGCAGGTCAGCTAACCTACTGTGTTTCTGGAGCTAAAAGAGAGAAAGTGCTTTCTGGTGTCAATTTTTATACCTAACTTTTGCTTTCCTTCTTATTGATACTTGCTGACAGCAGTGGAACTGCAGTGACGTGTGAGCAGGCATCATCTGACAGAAGATCACTCCCGTGGTCCAGCCTGTGTGAGAAGCAAGGGAGCTGTGCGCAAACATAAAGAATTTATGGACTGTTAGAAAAGCCTCGTTATTAATCATTTCCACAGTTGCATTGTAACAAAAAGGCTGCAAACATCTTAGTTTCAAAGTGAGTGAGTTAATCTAAAATCTCCTTTTAAGCAGATTTCTGCTGTCCAGGTAATCTTGGGATTAATTCTACAAATTTAGGAGCTGTTTCTGTGGAGAGCTGGGAGAAAGGAATAGGTTACTTTTATCAGTTTCCATTCTTATCAATTCCCAGTTTTGTTATTTTTTGCCTTTTTTATGACTAAAAACACACTTCAGGGCTTTAACAATACCAATCTAGCTCATCATCTAGTAAATATAAGTGTGGGGGATTTTTTCTGCCAGGTTGAAGGAGAACGATATGCACCGTCACTGCTGCCAGTTCCCAGCCTGGGTCACCCGGTAACCCCCGCTGCGGGGGGCTGCAGCTTGGGATGAGCCACGCGGTCAGATGAAAACAGTGCATGCCCCTGCCTGCCCCATGGCCTGCCCGCAGGAGATGGTATTTGGAAGGAGCGATGGGAAAGGAGGGAGTGGAGCTGGCACCTGCAAGTGGGTGGACCACTGGGGGAAGAAATCGAAAGGTCTCACTGCGCCTTTGATGAGAACAGCAGCTTTCAGCTCAAGAGTTTAGGATCTGCTCTAATAGAGTGGTTGCGGGTTTTGTCATCACAGAGTGGCGGTTCCATGTCAAATGGCGGCTCAAGTGTCATGGCTTTAATGGGCCAGGTGAGGCCATCTGCAGGTGCCATCACTCAGTGCAGCTCAGTGGCATGTGCGAGGCAAAAGTGTAGTGCCAGGAGGACATGCTGAGCATCCTGCCTCATTGCTCGCTTATTATCTCCATGGAAGTCTCAAAGCTTCTAAACAAGAGCCTGGGGAAGTTCCAGCTGCTGTCCTTTTCTCCTGGGCCCTGTGATCTAGTATTCAAAATGATGAAGGTGTAATCACTGAGCAGGCCAGAACACCTGGAGTCCTGGCATCTCACTGGCTTATTTCCATTTTTCCATTTCTGATAGTGGTAGGGTTGCAAATCTCAGGCAGGAATCCCATAGTTCTGTGTGCTGACAGGTCACGGAGCCAGAGCTCTGTTTAATGATTGCGTTTCCAGATGTGAGAAGAATTTCTCAGGAATTTCCCTAATATCACTGACTCCCTAGTAACCTCTTTTTTTTTTTTTTTCTTTTCTATGCAGGCTTGCCTGAATCCCTCCTACCTTCTTCAGATGGTTTGAGCAAAGCACACATCAAAGATGTAGACACATCTCTCATCAAATAAATACCAGCAGCCAGGTTATCTGAAGTCATTTTCTGCCTGCCTGCCACTGGGAAGGAAGTGCCTTCAGGGGTTCTCACTGTGTACCCCAAAAGTATGCAGCGTAACACCTCTTGAGTAAACAAAGGCAAACTCAGCATCCCCCACCCCCCTCACTGAAATGCTCTGTATTCACAGTAAAACCCCCGCTTTGATCTCTTGCCAAGAATAACACAGACAGTCTATTAAAACATCTTTAATAACATGATATAATTAAAAATATCTCATGTGCAACTCAAAGAAATGAATATGAAGCTTGTTTAAATCTGTTTCCACACCCCTCCAAACTTGACTGACAGGTTCCAAACCCTCATTAATTGGTCTGAAAATTTATGAATACCTCAGTATTGGGGGGGTGGGGGGTTGCCCTATATATGAGTTGGGAGCAGAAGGGATTAATCAGGTTTGAAAGGATTTGGGTGCCATGGTGGCTTTAACAATCCTGCAAGGCACCTCACTGCATCTGTGAGCATTTACATTTCTGTTTAAAGTGGTCTGAAATGAGTAGGAGGCGCTTGTCCCTTAGGCTTTTAACAGCCTGTGTGTTTAAGTCTCTAAAGCAATCCAGTGAACTCCTCATGCTTTAGTCAAAGGACGATGTGAGTCTGAATCCATCCCTTCACAATAACATGGGGAATTTGTACAGCACCTCCATCTTTTAGACAAGCAGAACAGACCAGACCAGAGGAGCTGGAACAACTGCCAAGTCCCAGAGGAATCCTGAGTATTGGATTATAAAGTGAGTCTGGTCACAGTCTAATATGAAAGTCATTGGACCGACAATTAGGAAAGCTTCTGTTCCTGGGTCTGCTCTTCTCCGAAGGACAGCGGTTAGATGAGATACTTCATTTTCAGAGTCACCGAGACAAGCAGTTCAGTGCAAACGAATGAACTGGTGAACTTCAGCACAGCATGCACCAAATTTCAGTAGATGTGAAATGAAATGTGTTAGTAAGTCCCGGTTAAAGAGTTTAAATTGGCAATTTTAACCCTGTGTTGCCAGGACTCAGCTGCGTGTCTGTGCCCTTTGTCTCTCTCTTGATGCTCTGCTCTTTTTGTAGTGACCAAGACCAAAACCCATTGCTTTTGAAGGATTCTCAGTCAG